CCCAGACCTGTGTAAGAGAATTGCTCACGATGGTCCATCTAACCACCAGTGCTCTGTCTCCATTCCCCTCAGCAGTTTGGTGACGCCTTTGAAAGAACACAGGGTAAGACTCCAGCCTCGTGAGAGCTTATTTATACCACAACAAAACTTGAGACTTACACAGCTGGGGGGCCTGAGAGGTAACTTGGCGAGCTGCGACACGTGCTTGGCGTGTAGAAGTTGTGTGTTTGATCGCCAACACCACAGTCGAGCCTATTTTACTTTGCAGTGGGGGGGTGAGGGGAGCATCTCTCAGTGGGGGCTACAACCATTAAACCCCTGGAGAAAGTGGAGGGCCCAGATCTTGGATGTTACATTTTTTTATTGTGGTTTCTTTTTTTACATTCCCTTCCCTCGTCCCTTGCCCCTCAGTGTGGCCGCTGCTTCTGTGGGAATGAGCTGGAGTAAGTGTAAGGTGTGGACCCCTTCGGCCGTGGTTTTTCTTGGGGGTCCGTCCAGTTGCTCCCACACCCCGCACTTTGGGGGCTGGCTGAGGGCGCCAGGGGCAGTCGCCAGGGGTCGCTGTGGCGCTCACTGCTGCTTTCCATCCTCCTTGTGCGTATGGGGGTCAGAAATATTCTCTGGGGGACCTGAGAGCAGAGTTGGGGACCCCAACAGCGGGACCACGAGGAGCCGATACGTTGCACATGGGAAGCACTGGAGAGCGAAGAGGGGCCTTCGGCTTACCAGTCAGGCTCTCTAAGCCCCTCGCGGACATTAATATCACAAACTTGGCCATAAATTGTCCTGACGACGGAATACCCCAAAATTACAAGCATCTCTGGGCTCAGGGTGGGAAATCCCAGTGGCCTAAGACCCTGATTCTGCTTTCTGGTACAACCCATAGGCACTGGAAATAGCCTCCGCTGGTTCTCTGGGATCCCCAGGGCCATAGTGGGAGCGTGAGTTCCAGCACACGGTCACACATGGGCACCCCCAGGACCTCCACAATAGGCACCACTGTCAGAATGTGAGCCCATACCACCCCCAGGGCAGCCCAGCATCAAAGGTGCAGCCCCAGGCCATTGGAATAGCCCAGACGGCAGGCAAAGGGAAAGGGAGAACCCAGCATCTCCATTTATTGAGTGTTGCTGACACCTACCTACATCTCAACCCTCAAGAGAATGCCCTGCACTGCCTCTGTTCCTGGGCATCGCTGCCAGACGTTGGGCTCTCCAAGATCTCAAAGGGTGAGTGTGTTTGCAGCTCAGAAACTCAAGACAGACACAGTCTCCTGCAACTCCGCTTCTGGCTTCCTGCACTCCCAGCTAAGGGAGAGACTTACTGATGGAAGGAAGAGAGCAGCAAGGGGAACGCTTGCGCTGGAAGGGGATGTCTCCGGATCAGGGACGCACGAAGGTCCTCGGGGCAGTGGAGCAATTGGGTGAGGGGTATGGAAAGAGTAGTGGAAAAATGCAAAGAATTCTCAACTATTTGCAAAACAACTACCAGGAAAGACAGAGGCCTCGCTTCTTTTTCTTTTTTCTTTTTCTTTCCCAGGTGATTATCTGTTTCTAAAACCCAGAAGTCAGAATTGCTTTGTTGAAAAGTTCCAATCGTCCAACTGAGTAAATAAAGCTTTTATTTAAAAAAAAAAAATCACAAATAAGCATTTTATTTTTTGCTTTTTGGGTCACACCCGGCAGTGCACAGGAGTTATTCCTGGCTCTGCGCTCAGGAATTACTCCTGGCGGTGCTCAGGGGACCATTTGGGATGCTGGGAATCGAACCCGGGTCAACCACATGCAATGCAAATGCCCTACCCGCTGTGCTGTCGCTCCAGCCCCACAAATGAGCACTGTTTTTATAGGAAAAATTCTCTGTTCGGAACAGCCCACTGACAAACAGCCCACCAAAACACAAGCTGTTTGTAAATGCATCATTATTTTCATAACTAGAGACCTCAGAAAGTAAACGTGTTTCCCTGCCACTGAGCCAAACTCAGGAGACACACAAGGAAATCCAAAGCCACAAGGAGAGAGAGAGAGAGAGAGGGAGGGAGGGAGGGAGGGAGGGAGGGAGGAAGGAAGGAAGGAAGGAAGGAAGGAAAAAGGAAGGAAGGAAGGAAAGAAGGAAAGAAGGAAGGAAGGAAGGAAGGAAGGAAGGAAGGAAGGAAGGAAGGAAAAAAGGAAGGAAGGAAGAAAGGAAGGAAGGAAAAAAAGAAGGAAGGAAGGAAGGAAGGGAGGAAGGAAGGAAGGAAGGAAGGAAGGAAGGAAAAAAGGAAGGAAGGAAGAAAGGAAGGAAGGAAAAAAAGAAGGAAGGAAGGAAGGAAGGAAGGAAGGAAGGAAGGAAGGAAGGGAGGAAGGAAGGAAGGAAGGAAGGAAAAAAGGAAGGAAGGAAGGAAGGAAGGAAGGAAGGAAGGAAAAAGGAAGGAAGGAAGGAAGGAAGGAAGGAAGGAAGGAAGGAAAAAGGGAAGGAAGGAAGGAAGGAAGGAAGGAAGGGAGGGAAGGAAGGAAGGAAGGAAAAAAGGAAGGAAGGAAGGAAGGAAGGAAGGAAGGAAAAAGGAAGGAAGGAAGGAAAAAAGGAAGGAAGGAAGGAAGGAAGGGAGGGAGGGAGGGAGGAAGGAAGGAAGGAAGGAAGGAAGGAAGGAAAAAAGGAAAGAAGGAAAAAAGGAAGGAAGAAAGGAGGGAAGGAAGGAGGGAAGGAAGGAAAGAAGGAAGGAAGGAAGGAAGGAAGGAAGGAAGGAAGGAAGGAAGGAAGTTTTGGAGAAATAGCATACAATGTTCTAAGTGATGGATTTTTAATAATCAATGTCTTTTCAACCATTCATTCCTAGTGAAACAGAATACCACTGACAATAATTCTTAAAGAAAGTGATTTTTCTAAACAGACCCAGAGGAACCAAGCTGAATTAAGAAGGGGAGATGAATTTAATAACACAGTATTAGACTGAGTGCAATCCAGGAAAAGCATCCTGTAAAAACTGGAATATAAAATGGACCTCAGGTAATGTTTGCGTTTTAAGTACTTGTATTATATTGAGGTAGACAGTTTTTAAAAAAAAAAACAACTCTCCATTAGACAGACGTAAAAATTTGTAATAATATTTAAGAAAACGATAATATTAAGAAAGAATGAAATTTCTGATTCATGCTTAACTTTGTACAACTCGAATATAAACTTTAAAAATATTAGAAATTATAACATTTGAGTGCATTGTATCGCTCTGTACATTTCGAGGAAGCGCACGGCCCACTTCCCTTTGCTCTGTCACCTTAAATAAACAAATATATACAGCCTCAATAGTACAACAGCATAGGCAAAGCAAACGTGCATTTTAAATTATTCCTCCTGGCCAAGTCTCTCTTTTTTCTTCACGTAGCATTTTATATTAGCATTTATTATTATTCTCACGCTCTCTCGGACAGTGTGGAGTTCTCCGAACCAACCCTGCAACCGCTTTAGATGCAGAGAACGTGAAACCATGTGGCAAACCGTGAAATCTTCATTTCCCGGCTGGTCCTTGCCATGGACCCTGGTTTGAGCCTGGACGAGAAGGGTCACTCTTTGGTGCCGGCTGGACCTAGTTCCGGTTGGGGTTGGAGGCAGCTGGGGCCAGCCTGGAACAGCACTGTGCTCTCTCCAGTTCGCTGCCATCCAGAACCCTCTTCCTCCGACACCCCCACCCGCCCCCACCCCTCCCGGGCTCCCACCCCAAGTTCCACCATTCACTGTTGAACTGTTGAAAGCTTCTCATTTCTGGGCAAGCACCTGGGGAATTCTGGCCGGCCACCCTTCAGAAACTGGCTTGGGGTGCTTCGAACACTCTGAGATGGGGTTTCTTCTCAGCAGACGGGGCCACCAGCCCCAGCCCCAGGCCTGCCCCTGCCCTCCGCTAGCTATGGCCCCTCCAACTCCAGGACGCTTCCTCCCGCTCATCCCCTTCAAAGGTGTCACTTGGGCCAAGTCCGCCCAAAGACCCCAGAAAGACGGGGTGGGCATCTGTGTCTGCTCAGAGGCCGCCCAGCCAGTTCCACTTGGGCTCATTCTCTCATTCCAGCATAACCAGATCCCCTGCCCTTCCCCCCCTCCCCCGCCAGCCCCGCCAGCTGAGCCAGCTGTGAGTGGGCAGGAAGGCACCCCTGGGGGAGGTTCTGGTCTGGCTCCCCCTCCATCCTTTCCTGTCCTCCTGCCCCTTGGGTGCTGCTGGCGCTTCCGGCACCGACATCCCATGGAGCCCTGCTCTGTGCCACCACCTCCTTGCCCCAAATCGTGGTCACCCACCATGGCCTCCTCCCACACTACTGCACTTCTTCAATGAGGCTTCTTGGTGTTTGTCAATCCAGGAGGCCTGGGGAAGGGACTGGAAACCAGTACGCGTCTGTTTCCCTGCCACTGAGCCAAACCCAGGAAACACACACAAGGAAATCCAAAGCCACAAGGAGAGAGAGAGAGAGAGAGGAGAGAGAGAGAGAGAGACAGACAGACAGACAGACAGAGACAGAGAGATCAGAGAAAGTCAGAGAGACAGACATAGAGACAGATCAGAGAGACAGAGAGGGACAGAGAGATAGAGACAGAGAGAGGACAGAGAGAGACACAGAGACAGACAGGGAGAGAGAGACAGAGACAGACAGAGATTAGAGAAAGTCAGGGAGACAGACAGAGAGACAGATCAGAGAGACAGAGAGGGACAGAGAGAGAGACAGAGAGAGGACAGAGAGAGAGACACAGAGACAGACAGGGGGGAGAGAGAGAGAGAGTTGAAGAAATCTCCTTGGTCTCGGTAGCCTGGTTCCAGGATGACCAGGCCAGGTGTGAGATCCGCGCGTGGACGGTGCTGGGAGGTGGGGCCGGGCCCGCCCCGGGGCGGCTGCATCCATCCATGCATCCATGCATCCATCCATCCATCCATCCATGCATCCATCCATCCATCCACCCATCCATCCATCCATCCATCCATCCATCCATCCATCCATCCACCCATCCACGCATCCCGGCGTCCGGGCCACCTGCCTGCGCTACCTGCAGCCGCACGACTCCACCACCATATCCTCGTACTGCTTGTAGACCACGTTGTTGCCCGCGTCGATGTACAGGATGCTGATGGGCGTGAGCTTGGTGGGCACGCAGCAGCTGGGGGCGGGGTGGCGCCGGGGTCCATGGAGTTCATGAGCGTCTGGATGATGGCGTGGTTGGTGGGCTCCAGGTGCGAGCGCAGCGGGAAGTCGCACACGCCCTCGCAGTGGAAGGCCTCGTACTCGAGGGGCGCGATGATCCAGTCGTCCCAGCCCAGCTCCTTGAAGTTCACGTGCAGGGGCCTCCGGCTGCAGCGCACACGCGCCTTCTTGCCGTGCCGCTTGCCGTGGCGGCTGGCCAGGGCCGTGCGCCTTCGCCGCCGCCCCGCCGCGCCCGGGGACCACCAGCCCGGGACGCGCGCGCGCGCCTTCGCCGCCGCCGCCCGCCGCGCCCCCTGCTCCTCCCGCTGCTCCTCCCGCTGCTCCTCCCGCTCCTCCCGCTCCTGCTCCTGCTCCTCCCGCTCCCCCCGGGCGCCCGGCTGCTCGCGCATCTCGGCGAAGAGGTTCCTGCGCGGGGAGCGCGTGAAGGCCACGAGCAGCGCGCGCTCCTGCGGGGCCCGGACGCGCCGGCCGAAGCCCAGACTCCGCAGGTCCGGGCTGGGCACCGCCGCCTCCTCGGGGCCCCCGACGACGCGCAGCTCCAGGCACAGCCGCCGCGGCCCCGGGCGCAGGCCCTGGCCCACGTCGAAGACTTCCCAGCCGGCCCGGGGCGCCCTCTGCGGGTGCAGGGTCCGCGCGTCCAGCAGCCGCGGCGACTGGCACGGCCGCAGCTGCACGTGGGCCGGCGCGGACGGCCCGCCCCCCGGGGACGGGGACGGAGGTGGGCGGCCGGCGGAAGAGCCGCAGCTCCGCGCCCACCAGCTCCTCTTTGTCCGAGAGCGTGGACACGTCGAACAGATACTTCTGTCTCCGCAGCGGCGTGAGCGAGAGATCGTCTGCGAGATTTAAAAAAACGAAGAAAAAGGCAAAAAAAAAGTAAGCATCATGGGGCAGTTTCGCTTAAGGGCGAGGGTTCGTCCTCCCCCGCTCTGCGGCCACCAACGCGCACACACACACACACGCACGCGCACGCACGCACGCACGCACATACACACCCTGCCCTAGAAAAGGGCGGGCAGCCGCAAGTCCAGTTCCAGAGCCTGGCCACCCCGACCCCACGTGGGCACGCTCCCCAGGCCGGTGCTTGGAGCTGTGCCCTCAGCTCCCTGCGGTCAGGGATCCCCGCTCTTGCTCCCCTTCCCTCGGGAACTCAGTGGGCTACTGTCTGGTCCAAGAGGTCTCTGTGACCTTCTCCCCTGGTGACCACTGGCACGCCCTTTGTGGTCCCAGTTGGAGTCCCCAACGCATCTGCTCATCCCCAACACATCGCCAACACATCTGCTCATCCGTCACCTCCCCCCATGGAAACCACCCTCCTGAGTCCTTGTCCCAGCCTGGCTGATGAATTCTCAATGAGTCTCCTTAGTGGTCAGTTCCAACTACCCTTAGCCTTCTTTTTTTTTTTCTTTCTGGGTCACACCCAGCGATGCTCAGGGGGTTCTTCTGGCTCTGCATGACGGAATTACTCCTCCTGGCGGTGCTCGGGGACCATATGGGATGACTGGGATCAAACCAGGGTCAACCGGGTACAAAGCAAGTGCCTACCCACTGAGCTATCACTCCAGCCCCCCTGCACTTGGCCTTCTGCAGTTCCCGCTTAAGGAACCCAGAGGTCATGACAGGTGGGCACCTGAGAAACTGCTAGGGTGCCCCTTCCCAACAGGGCTTCCTTCCACCCTGATGCAGCATCTCTGAGCCCTGGAGACGGCTTAGTCGAGGATTGCCTGATCTTTTTATTTAACTCCAGATCATTTTTTCAACGAATTGGAGGGCCCAAGAGGTAGTCCAGAGAATACGGTTAAGGCTCTTGCCTTGCACGCAGCTGACTCCAGGTTTGAATCCCGGTACAGCAGAGGGTCCCGGGAGTGCGGCCAGGGGTCAGTCCTGAGTGAGCACTGCTGGGTGTGGTCCCGCAAAAAGCGGAGCCCAGAGAGCTCTCCAGCTGCCATGCAGACTGGGCTCGCCAGAGGCCTGTGTTTGATCCCAACGCGGGTGGGAAGGAGATCCCCCAAAAAGCACAAGGTGTAACACCCAAAACCTAAAAGCAAAATAAGATGAAGCCCTGATTTAGGTACACACAACTGCAGGGCTCAAGATGGAAGCTTTGCAGAAGCTCTGAGCTCCGACAGAGAGCAGAGCTGTAGGGTGAAGACTCCAACTTCCACAGTCCCTGAGATAGGGTCCCTGATCCCTTCAGATCCTCTCTCAGGATCCTCCCAGGGTGGGAGAAGCATGCTGAAAGTAGTCTATAGACCAAACATGATTGCCCACTCAATGCCGCTCTTGCAAAACACAGGGACCCAAAAGAAGAGAGAGAGAGAACAAGGGGGAATGCCCTGCCACAGAGGCAGGGTGGGACGGGGGGATGGGGGGGTGGGAGGGATGCTGGGACCCGTGGTGGTGGAGGATGGGCACTGGTGGAGGGATGGGTACTCGATCATTGTATAACTGAAACCCAAGCACAAAAGTTTATAAGTCTATAACTGT